AAACAAACGAATATATCAGAAATTTTCAGTGAGTGTAAAAAAAAAAAAAATAAAATAAATTTTCTCTGCTAAACACTTCAATATTCTGTCTTTTTTTTTTTTTAGTTAGATTCAATTCTTTTTTTTTTGCAGCTAAGAACGCAAAATGGCACAAATGTAGACAAAAAAAAAAGATTAGAAAAAAATTGCCAACGATAAAAATGTGTGGTTTAACAACAAAAAAAAAAATACTCACCAAAAAAAAGAAAAAGAAGAGGAAAAAAAGTGTAAGAAACGGGGTAAAAATTTTTGTTGATTAGATGAAAAGTGAACTGGGAAAAAAAGAAAAAAAAGCAAACAAATAAACAGATAAACAAATAAACAAAAGATTTGGACAAATAATAAAAAAGCAAAAAAAGAAAAAAGAAAAAAAATTTTTTTCAACACTTCAACATATAAAAATATCAATAATATTATGGTTGATTGATTATAATTGTCAAATTATTTGCTGCCATCAAATAAAATACACATTTTGTAATCTGTTTTTTTTTTCCCCAGTGTAGAATTCCTTCATTTTCCACCTCTTTCTTCTGCTTCACCGCCGCCATCGTCATCGTCATCGTCGTCGTTGTTGTCGTTGTCGTCTTCTTCTTAACCTTCTCATCAATCTATTAGCCTTTTTTAAAAAATGATAAGAGGGGAAAAAAAGCTTTCGTCTTGTTTTTTTCCCCCCTCCCCCCCATCTCTTAGTCTTTTTAACTGTTTACCACTTCAACTGTAAGTTGCTTATGTCTGTGTGAGTGGACAGTCGAAAAAAAAAAAGAAACAGGAAATAAAATTGATGGAAGGATGATGAATGAAGTAGCACTGTTGAACGCCAGTTAGGTTAAGCCAAAATAAATAAAACAAAAAATTGCTTTGTCGAGACAGTTTTTTTAACGATCTGATAAGCGGAAGAGGTGAAAAGACAGGGAAAAAAAAAGATTTCTTTTCCTTCCCCAAAAATGTTAAAAAAATGAACATTAATCGACGCCGCTCCGTTATATTTTGATTAGCAATTTTTTTTTTTTTGGCTTTTCTGAATCATCATCAGCAATCAGCATCTTTTTTTTTTACATCATCCAACGATCGTCGTACACTTTGAGTACAGTGTATAGCCGAAGCAATAGAAAAAGCGTAAAAAAATTGATGCTAAGTGTCAATGGTTTTTAAAGTGTGAATGAATGAGCAAAAAAACATAAATAAATAAATAAATAAATCCACAGTTTTTTGTCGTTGGCGATGGTTGACGATAGCGGTGAAGTCAAAGTTGGTGATGGTGAATGGAGGAGATGATTTTGGATGGTGATTTCTCAATGGTGTTACCTAGTGCTTTATTCCGTATCAAAGTTGTCAAAAAAAAAAAACAACAAAAAATATAGATTGACTAATAACAGCAGTCTATAAAAATGATCAAAAAAAAGAGAAAAGAAAAATATGGATAAAAAAAAAAAAACTTTGGATATTTTTTAAAGTGAATAAACTAAGAATTGTTTATGTTAAAACAAATGAAAATATTCATAGGATAACATTTTGATATGAAATGAAAAATAGACGTAAATGTAAATAAAAAAAAAAAAACAAATACAAATACAAATATAAATACAAATCAAAGTTTACGAAAAAAATAGTTATCAAAAAGCAAAAGAAAAAAAAAAGTGAGATTGAAGAAGCTGAAATATTTCATAGGGTCCAATAATGACGACAACGATCACTATTAAAACAGCACGTAAAAAAAAGTCCTTGTCGAAGAATATTATAATTGAGGTTTTTTTTCTTCTTTTTTTTTGTAGTGAAAATATCAATTACACCAAATTTGCTGTTTATTTTTAGTCCTTCTGTTTCCTCATCAATTTTTTTCCTGTCATCTTTAATTTCTGAAACAATTTTTAGACTACCAAAAAGAAAAGAGGGTATGAAGGTAAAGTGGTAAGAAAAGACAGCGATGCAAAAATTTTGTAGAAAGATTTTTTTTTCAATCCATTTTTTGATCCAAAAAAAAAAGAACCTTTTTTTTTATTCTATATGATTTTAAGCCACAGTTTTTAGGTTGATATATTTGCAATTTTAATTGTAGGTTAGTTTTTTTTTTTTTTTT